TTGAACTGCCAACCTTCTGGTTAGCAGTCAAATGTCTTAGGCACAACACCACCAGAGCTCCTTGGGACTAGAGAAAAGTTGAGCTCAAAAGTGATTGCACTTCCTCATTAAAAAAAAAAAAAAAGACCAGGTTTGCTGATCTGATAGAGCCTGGTAAAACCCCTGAGACTATGGCCCCCAGTTACCCTTCAGGTTTGGAACTGAACTCACGCCTATGGCTTCCAACCAAATAAAAGACAGACATATGGGCTGAATATTTACATCAGAGAGATACACTCCTTGGAGAGATCAATTATGGGAGAACAGAAGGACAGTGTGTGCCCAGAGAGACAGCTAGGGGCAGGAGTGCATGGGAGGGAAGGACATAGGGAAGAGGTAACTATGGGGAGAAAGTGTGAAGGGAGCTGTTACATTGTGGGAAATTGCAGTCAATGTCATGACACAAAATGTGTATCAACTTCTATATAGAAAATGAATTTGCTCTGTAAACTTTCACCCAAATCATAATAAAAATTAAAAAAATAAAAAGTGATCATCTTTCCCAGGTAGCCTCCTGAAACTGCCATATACTTGAAGAGTTCGAGATTACTGGTTTGCTCAGTTTGCCCTTTCTAAATTTTGGTTGTTGTTGTTATCCAGTCAGCCCCTGAGTCATAGTGATGAAATGCTGCCTGGTCCTACACAGTGGGATTGGACTGGTTGTGATCCATATAGTTTTATTGGCTGATTTTCAGAAGTAGATTGCCAAATCTTACTCCTAGTCCATCTTAATCTGGAAGCTCCACTCTGAAACCTGTTCACCGTCTTAGTAATACACAAGCCTCCACTGACAGACAGGTGGTGGCCGTGTGTAAGGGACACTGGCCAGGAATTGAACCTGGGTCTCCCATGGAAGGCAAGAATGCTACCAATGAACCACAAATTTCAGTCAAACTCACTGCCGTCTAGTTGATTCTGACTCATAACAACCCTATCTTTTCTAAATAGACTTTGTGGCCATGATTAACCTTAGGGTACTATGCTGTGCTGCTCCTTTGGCTCCTGGCTTTACCAGTAGGGAAAATGAAGGAGGGATTCCAACATAGCTGTCTCTCACCTGCCCACTGTGTGTTTAACTCAGTGCTGAGTATTCTCTACCTGTCATCTCCTATAATCCTCATTTTATATGTGAGAACATGGAGAATGGGAAGGCTTCCCAAAACCACACCCCTTGAGCAAGAGGAAGGCAGGAAGGAGGAAGAGAATGGCAATTGGTGGTGGGAGGGGGTTCTCACAGTTAGCCAGGCTATATCCACGGTATCCTTCCAGACCAAATTCCTGTAGTGTTCTGGCCAGCTCACAGCGGCTGTAGACCTTGGCTTCGCTGATGGCCATCAGGCAGCTGAGCAGGGAGACTAAAACAAGCTTCATGCTCCCTCGTGAGTGTAGCTGCCTTCTGGGAGCCCAACATTCTGCTTCCACGCTGTTGGCAGAAGCAAGGCCTTCGCCACTCTGGCTTAGAGTTGGGCTTAGAGAAGCCTCACCAGCCATCCAGTTACAGATGCCTACTCCTCAGAAGAAGAGAAACAGGGCCTGAGTGCATCCCTAGGAAATAGGAAGGAGAGGTGGGTAGGAGGCAAGGCTCCAACGTTGCAAATCAGCTTCCTTGCGGTCCTAATGAAGCATCAGCCATGCCCCCAAGACCCTGGATAGGGCTCCCCTAAATCAGTCCTCTCTCCCTTCCAATCCTGCTATAACCAACCCTGGCCCAGCAGCAGAGGGAAAGGAAGGGAAAATGAGGAAGAAGATTAACAGATAATGAGCACCACACTGCATGCCAGACATTATGTGATCCTGAGGCTCAAGATATGCTAAAGCTTGGACTGAGAATAAAGTCCATGAGCGGATGTTCCAAATAAGGATGGGCTGAGAAGTTCAATCAGTGTAAATCCATCCCTAAGGCCAATTGCCGAAGGACCTCCCTTTTAGCACTGAACCTCCATCTCCTGGTCTTTACTGAAACAAGGTCTGCCCTCCACCAAGAACACCACCGCAATATGGCCTTGTCAAGTGTAAGTTGCTCTTTCTCCACACATAGATGACTCATGGCATCTTCTCTTGAGCTGCAGACCTCATATACAACTGCCTCTTGGACATCTCCACTTGGGTATCCCACAGGCACCTCATAGCAAGCCCACCTAAAACAGAACTAATCTTCCGCCAAAATCTGATCTTTCTAATGTCTTCCTTTTTTTGGTCTAAGACATTATAATTCACCCATTTATCCAAGCTAGAAATATGGATGTTATTCTTTACTATGTTTCCTTTACTCTCTCCCTCATCCATCCTCAACCAATCAATTCCAAAATTCTACTGATTCTACCTTCCCTCCATGAGCACTCCCTTTCTCTTAGTTCAGACTACCATCATGGCTTGTATCCAGTCTTGTATCCAGTCATGACCCCTCTTCCAAACTATTCTACACATCCACCATTGTTTGAACAAACAAATGAAAAGCCTGACCACGTGGCACTTCAGTGACTCTCCATCATCACATCTCCTCAACATAGTTGAAAAAGCCCTCCATGACCCAGCCATGTGGCAATGATATATTTATTGTTCACTCATGATGATCTAGGAGCTCTGGTAGCATAGTGCCTAACGCACTTGACTGCTAACCAGAAGGCTGATGGTTCAAACCCACCAGCCACTCCTCAGAAGGAATGTTGGGCAGTCTACTTCCATAGTGATACTGCCTCGGAAACCCAAGGAGGGGTCACTATGAGTCAGGTCTAACTTGATGGCACATAACAACAACATGATGATCTTGATACCTAGAATATCAGCCTCTTTTCTTTTTGTGGCTAACTAGTGCTCATACTTGAAAGATCACCTCAGGAGTGAATTTTCCAGTGAGACTCTTTCCTGGCAGGCCACCCACCCCCAACACTCCCATAGTGCCCTGTATTTCTACCCTTTCTCCATCACACTTGATTGTAACATAAGTCTTTCCCACAGCAGGGTGAACTTCCAAAGGACAGTGTCTAGCACATCAGCAGAGTTGCTGGTATGGAGTGGGTGTTCAATGGATGTTTCTTAAACTGAAATAAATACACTGAAGTCATGACTACAAGAGGATGAGCCCTTCCCATCAAAGTGTGGGGAATAAGAGGAAGGAAGACAATTAACATCACTGAGTTCTTAAAATATGTTAGACATGGAGCCAGGTCTTTTCCTAATGCTTTCTAACTTAATCTCATCTCATCTTCTCCACAATTCAAGGGTGTAAGTTTAATGCCACCAATTTATAGATGATAAAACCACATTGACTGCTACATAGTGACTGTTGTTGAGTTTTGCAGTGGAGCAACTCAAAAGTAATCTCATCCTGGGAACACTGCTAGACAGGTAGAGACAAGTATTGATTTGGGTGAAGGGAAGAGCAATGTATCAAATGTGAGTGATCAACATGGTGGCATTGAGGAAGAGTAAGACATAAAGAGGTACATGGGCGGTACAGACAACAAAGGTTAACCCTTTTACACATACAGTATTGTGTTGTCAGTGATGGCAAACACTGATATACAGGTGGATAGAAGAGTAGACAGGCTGAACTATTTAGTATGTCTACGCAGGGGGGAGTGTGCCCATGATCATGTATAGGGTTGACAGACAATGTTTCTACAAGTGTATTTGTATGTTCTGTAAGAATTTCCAGGTATATAGTAGAACTGACAAGGGACAAGGTTATAGTCACTTCTTGGCCACAGCCAGCTACCTGGAGGGAATGAGTAGTTAGTCCTGTGGGCGCAGGACCATGGTCACAGGGGACATCAAGCTCAATTGGCATAACATAGTACACAAAAACATTGTTCCACATCCTACTTTGACGAGTAGCCACTGGGATCTTAAAGTTTGCAAGCAGCCATCTAGATGCAACAATGGATCTCTCCTCATCCAGAGCAAAAAAGAATGGAGAAAACCAAAGACTCATGGAAACAATTAGTCCAAAGGACTGCTACACCATGTGATCCTCAGCCTATATAAATATGGGACCAGAAGAACTAGTTGGTGCCTGGCTACCACTGCCAACCACTTGGAGGGGGATCTATGTAGGAGATCCTGGATAGAGTGGAGAATAATGTAGAACAAAACTCAAAATCATTTAAAAAAAAAAAAAAAAAAGGTGAGGGGGACCAAGTTTGCTGGCCTGATAGAGCCTGGTGGAACCCCTGAGACTATGGCCCCTAGCTGCCCTTCAGGTCTGGAACTGAATCCACTTCTGTGGCTTCCAGCCAAACAAAAGACAGGCATGTGAGCTGAACATTTACATTAGGTAGATACCCTCCTTGGAGAGATCAATCATGGGAGAATAGAAGGGCTGTGTATGTACAGGGAGATAGCTGAGAGGGAAAGAGTACATGGGAGAGAAGGACACAAGGAAGAGGTAACTATGGGGAGGAAGTGGGAATAGAGCTGTTGCATTGTGGGAAATTGCAGTCAATGTCATGAGACAAAGTGTATGTGAATTGTATTTGCTCTGTAGACTTTCACCCAAATCACAATAAAAAATTTTTTTTAAAAAAAGTAATCTCAGCCTGAGAGTTTCACAACAGTTCCAGAGATATTAAGAGTCAGGTCTGGTAACTCAAAGCCCAGAGATCTGCCAGCATGCTCCTCTCTCTCTCTCAGTGCATCACTCTCTCAGGCCAGGATCCCCCACCTCTAACCACATCTTGTTTTCTCCATGCCCCTCTCTGCCCAAACCAGCCCAGGCTCCTGGTTAGCAGCTCCTGGAGAAAGAGAAGAGGACTCACTGACCAGGTGTCCTCCCTGCCAGAGCTGAGACAGTGACGACAGAGCAGCAAGAGCACTGGCCCAGAACCCAGTTTCAGGGCAGGGTTCCTCTCCTTCCACGTGCCTGCTGCACCCAGGTGGCCAGGGTTAGGAAAACAGTGCTGGCAGAGACAAGTTCCAGACTGGGCAGGATGTTCTGGAACTCCCCAGCTCTGTGAGATCATCTTCTAGAACAAGCCCCACCCACTCAGCTTTGACTAACTCACCTAAGCCCCTCAACTTCAGGGTCTGGGGACATCTTTATTATTAGTTCCCGTGAGTTGGCACCTGCTCCAGGCAACCCCATGTGCAACAGAATGAAACGTCACCCAGTCCCATGCCATCATGACTGTTGGTGTGTTTGAATCCATTATTACAACTATTGTATTGCCTTTCAACTGAGGGGCCTTTAAGCATTATATCAGACAATATTCTGTTGTGACCTATAAGGTTCTCATTGGCCAATTTTCAGAAGTAGATTGCCAGGCCTTTCTTCCTAGTCTGTCTTAATTGGAAAGCTCCGCTGAAACCTGCTCACCATGGGTGACTCTGCAGATATTTGAAACACCAGTGGCATAGCTTCCAGTATTATAACAACATACACCACAGTATGACAAACCGACAGATTGTTGTGGGGATATCTTGTTATTGTTATGTGCCATGGAGTCATTTCTGACTCATTGTAACCCTACATGACAGAATAGAACTGCCCCATAGGGTTTCTTAGGCTGTGTGATCTTTACAGGAGCAGATCCCAGGTCTTTTCTCCCATAGTGGGTGATTCCAAACAACATTTTGGTTAACAGCCAAGCACTTAACCATTGCACCACCAGGGCACCTTATGGCAACATCTTAGGAGCATCTGATTCCAACCGTCTCCTGCCCATCTCTACACCCATACACAGACTTTGAAGGATGATGATGGCTACCTGGGGCAACAAGAGGCGCCTACCACCTCCCCATGAAGTCTATCTCATTGCTGGACTCCTTCAACTGGTAGAATGTTCTTCCATAAGGCTGAGCTGCAAACCACCCCCATCTGATGGTGACTGTTCACTGTGGACAGGTCCAGGACCAAAGTGATATTGTTGATCCTAAAGCGTGAATGGGCAGAGAAATTAACTAGAAGGGCATGTGCTAGCACTGCTTCTGCTCCAAAGGGGCCCCTCTATGAAGCCCATGTGGCACAGTGGTTAAAGCATGGGCTTTGCAATCAGGCTGATCTGGGCACAAATGCAGGATCTAGTGACTACCCGCTGCATGACCCGGAGAAAGTGACTTAATCTCTCAGATTCCTCAGTATCTCATAGAGTATTGTTTTTGTTATTGTTGTTGTGTGTTGTTGAGTCAATTCTGACTCATAGCAACCCCATTTGACAGAGTAAAACTGCCCCCATAGAGTTTTCTAGGCTTTAATCTTTATGGGAAGCCCTGGTGGTACAGTGGTTAAGTGCTCAGCTGCTAACTGAAAGGACGGTGGTTCAAACCCACCAGCCACCACAGAAGAAAGCTGTGGTAGTCAGCTTCTAGAAAGATTTCAGCCTTAGAAACCCTATGGGGCACTACTACTCTGTTTTATATGGTCACTATGAGTTAGATTACACTCAAGAGTACCAAGGCAA